TTTAAGTGGCTTTTATTACTTAAAGCATTCATTTATAATTTTACTGCTTGCTTCTTAGAGTTGAGAAACAGTTTACTTTTCAAGCTACAATGTCCCTCAATGCATGGGCTTCTCTATTATGTTTTATTTTTGCCTAAAGCTAGCATGAATTGCCTTCTCCCCCCAACACTGCTCTCACCACCTTCAATCTAACCCCTAAGCAAATGGCATGTGTTTTACGTTTTTATTTGTGGCAAGGCTCTTCTTTCTGTACTAATTTTTCCACAGTACAGAGAGGCTTGGCTACTTTTCATTTTCATCCACACAATGTCTCCATCACAGGCTGACAGCACTTTGTTCATTGTTGCTATTCAAGCACTCAGGCTGAAGTGGCAACTATCATCTTGAACATTACTGATTGCCATGACAGGAAAACCAGAGGTTGCTGGAAAGGGCTCCCACTGAGTGAATGATTAAATACTCTAGTCAGTTCACAATGTATTAGCCTGAATTAGTCACATGGCTCCACCAAAGCCCAAGGAAGCATAAAAGTTCAATGCAACATTTCCCCAGAGTGGGGTGAACCAGAAATATTGGATGAAAAGCGTTAATGAGCACCTCAGAGTATAAGCCAGATATATCCTACAGATTCTGAAAGTCTGAGAATTGATGAGGAAGAACTTTTACATATTAAGCCCATACAAGCATTTGTGAATTTGTAGACATACACAATCAGAATAATTATTTGATTACACACCATCTAAAACTCATATTGTGTAGTAGATATTTATTAGATAATTTGTGTAAAGTATGATGACAAAGATAGTATGATAAATCATCATCATCATTTTGAATTATTACATAGAAGTGTTTACTTAAAACAAAACTTGTTTAAGCACCAAGGTGAGATTTTTTTTTTTTAATTCATGTAATTTCTGCTAATGATATGGCGGGATGCTGTGTAACATCTGTTGTTTACAAGTTCCAACTACCCATTGGGTCACTTGTAAATTTTCACACAGATTATAAGCAATGTTATTAAGATTTAAGAGAATAAACAATTTAACTAAATAAGTTAATATTATTTTAATTAGAAAATCATATTATTCTTTATCTATATTAAAGCTTAAATAATTAGCCTTCTCAAAAAAAACTTGCATTAAAGCAAACATTACAGCTACCGCACTGGATCTCAAGTTGAATAATTAAACAAAGTCCCAAGCGTCAACTTGCATCACATTATATAAATCAATGAAAACATTTTTATTGTTCTTATATTGTGAATTTCCTTATGAAAAGAAAAATTAAGCATCTTCATTATTTTATGAAAAATATTTTCCTATGGTTCTTAACATTTTTTTCAGCCCTTTTCATATCAGTTATTGTTGGCTTCCTTCTAAATGGTTTATTCATAATATGATCCACCAATATCAAAACCAGTTTCTGGAAATGACATTACATGTGGGTACAAATTCTGCCCACAGAATCAATAATTTGGCAGAATATATATTATTTTCCTTAATCTAAGGATACATTTATAAGACACTTTTCTTAGAAATCTGGGAGGAAGTGAATACAATCAACACTCTAAACATATAATCAGATTCCATTGTCTCCAATTATATGGCAAAAACATGTACTGATAAATACCCTTAAAATTACATACTAATTTAGAACTGTGATTAATAGGAATACTACTTTTCTGTCAATTGTTTTCCAAAGACAAACTGATTTATTTATTTCCAAAAGTTAACCCATTTATTTTCTAAATATAGTCACATAATTAATTTATGAAATACACCATTAACAAAACACTCAATATAAAAAAAAAAATCCTTCAGTCACTTCCCATGTCTCCATCATATGAGCTAAACAAATCTTCACACAATTTGAGATCTACTTAATTATTCAGGCTACCTTATACCTGTTATGTGCTCTCTCTCAAGGTCAATATTACTAGCCTTCATTCTTTCCTTTGTATTTTGCATGCTCATTTAAGTTATAAAAGTCTCAGCATATGCTATATCCTCTGTGTGAAACTTCCCCTACCCTGTTTGCCTAGTTAAATTTTAGTAGGCAATTTGCTGTTTTTGCACTTATTCATTTCCAGTTCTCTGGGTGACATTTCCCCTGGAATTCCAATAGGAAACATCTGTCTACTTATCCTCAGTCTATGTGGTTTAAGTAGGCCGGCACCCCACTCCACTGAGAAGCATGTGTCCCTGAAGTGTCTAGTCCAAATAATGGCATCCCTCTAGTCTCTGCAAAGATTATCACAGGGGTAAAAGCATGACCCAAGTTGGCCCAATTAGAATGATTTCCAGAAATTTTATGACTGCCTAGGACTCAGAACTATGATAATTACACTTGAGCTGCCAGGGGGTCAGTGGAGCAGAAGCGCTGCCTGGGAAGGAAGCCAACATGAAGAAGAGCAGATGGAAGAAATGGAAATATTCAGACCTAATAGCCTTGTTTGGGCCCCAGATCCATGCAGCAGACCCTGTTGTCATATTGTTCTCATCCTCTTATCTCTAATGTCATTGGCACACACTAAACAATTAACACATCTGTACTGATTTAACAAATGAACATCAAAATTGTTAAAATGTTTAAATATATTTTAATACTTGTGCTTTGTATCAATGTCTTCCACAGTCTGCATTATTAATTAATCAATCGATTCACTCATTCATCAACAAAATTTCATTGCAGGACTATGTGCTCAGCAATTAACATGTTAGTGGGAACCTCAGAGTGATGAAAATATTCTATTTCCTTATAATTGCTTAGCTGTATTTTCAAATGATATACAAGACTCATGTCGCTTTTTAAAAATAATATGTAATTATTTTGAAATGTTTCCTTAAAAATATAGGTATACTATCATTCATAGAATTCTGATAGTAGTTATGGCTTAGAATGGGGATTTTCTGGAATGGATTCTGCTCTGTAACTTTGACCTTTTCTTCAGGAAACTTCAAATTGACCTTTGGAGTCATCTAGTTTGAGTTCCTCTCAAACCCATTCCAAACAGGCTTCATTAATTGGCCTGACAGGGTTTGCACTGATAAAATATCTTTTCTCACACACCAACTACCATTATAAGCAACAACAAAAATTGTATGGTTTTATTTTTTAAATTTTTTTCTAAACATGTTATTTTTTTCAAGTTTTTATTAAATTCCAGTTAGTTAACATACAGTGTATTAGTTTCAGGCATACAATATACTGATTCAGCACTTGCACACATCACCAGGTACTCATCACAAGTGCCCCCCTTAATCCCCATCACCTATTTCACCCATCCCCCCACCTATCTCCCCTCTGGTAACCATCAGTTTGTTCTCTATAGTTAAGAGTCTGTTTCTTGGTTTGCCTCTCTCTCTCTCTCTTTTTCCTTTGCTTATTTGTTGTTTGTTGAATTCCACATATGAGTGAAATCATATGGTATCTGTCTTTCCATGACTGATTTATTTCACTTATCCTAATACCTTCTAGCACCATCCATGTCAGTTCAAATGCCAAGATCTATGCTTTTTCATAGCTAATGTTCCATTGTATATATGTCACATCTTTATCCATTCGTCAGTCGATGGACACTTTCCATAATTTGGCTACTGTTGATAACACTGATATAAACATTGGGATGTATGTATCCCTTTGAATTAGTATTGTTGTATTCTTTGGATAAATACCTAGTAGAGTGATTGCTGGATGGTAAGGTAGTTCTGTTTTTAACTTTTTGAGGAAACTTCATACTGTTTTCCAGAGTGGCTGCACCAGTTTGCATCCCCACCAACAGTGCAAGAGGGTTCCCCATTCTCCATATCCTTGCCAACATCTATTGTTTCTTGTGTTATTGATTTTAGCCATTCTGACTGGTGTGAAGTGATATCTCATTGTAGTTTTGATTTGTATTTCCCTGATGATGAGTGATGGTGGCATCTTTCCATGTGTCTGTTGGCCATCTGTATGTCTTCTTTGGAAAAATGTCTATTCATGTCTTCTGCCCATTTCTACATTGGATTATTCATTTTTTGGGTGTTGAGTTGTATAAGTTCTTTGTATATTTTGGATACTAACCCTTTATCAAATATATCATTTGCAAATATCTTCTCTTATTCCAAAGGTTGCTTTTAGTTTTGTTGATTGTTTCCTTCCTTGTGCAGAAACTTTTTATTTTGATGAAGTCCTAATAGTTAATTTTTGCTTTTGTTTCCCTTGCCTCAGGAAACATCTAGAAAGAAGTTGCTATGGCTGATGTCAAAGAGGTTTCTACCTGTGTTCTCCTCTAGGTTTTTTTATGGTTTCCTGTCTCACATGTAGATCTTTAATCCATTTTGAATTTATTTTTCTGTTTGGTGTAAGAAAGTGGTCCAATTTCATTTTTTAAATTACATACTTTTTAAATTTATTTAGACTGAATGTAAATCTAAAATAGTGTCCTCTAAGGTTTGCTTAGCTGATCAACATGCAGAAGTTCAGGATGTTTACTACAATGCTCAACACAATTCTTCGCAGAAGAGCTATTTTAATATATTGCTCTATTTGAGAAAAAATTACATAAAATTTATATTTCCACACTTTGTAGTGAAAACAAAATATTCATTGAGAGTGAATATAGCTAAACCACATCTTCACCACATTTGGCTCTATATTTGTTTTCGTTTTTTTTTTGTTTTTTTTTTTTTTTTCAAAATTATATACCACAAAACATGAGGAACATAAGTGGGCCTCTGCTATAATCTTTGAGTTTTCCTCAATCAGAATTATTGCACTTTGTACCATAGTGAACAGAATAAGTTCTGTTTATTGTTTAGTTCCATATTCTTCTGTGTCTCTCATCCCCCAGTGACACAAAACGATCTTCTATGATCTACATGCTCCTTTGCACCATCTCATGCACCATAGAGCTTACTTGCTCTAAGGCCTTACATTCTGACAAAAATAAATGTGAGAATTTTGCATTTCCAGTTTTTAAATGTTGGGCTTTTCAGTCAGAAACTTCATCAATTAGGGGTGCCCAACTGGCTCAGTGGGAAAAGCATTGGACTTTTGATCTCAAGGTTGTGAGTTCAAGCCTCATGTTGGGTGTAGAGACTACTTAAAAATAAAATCTTAAAAAAAAAGAAACTTCATCAATTGGAAGTGAAAGAGGTTGTCAAGGTTGTCATCCACTCTCTACAAGATGCCAGCCACCATTCACTTATGACCTCAGAGTGTCCTCTTCTAATATTTCTATAGCTCTATTGACAAATACTTCTCTGTGCCATGGGCATGTCTGTGGCCAGCTATCTTACCCTTGTGAAATTTGATTCTGCATAAAAACAGGACAAAAGAAATACCATCATGCTAACTACATGCATCACGCTTACAAACACACAATTTATACCATTTTTTGTGTAAAATAAATACATGAATATATTTCTTAAGCTTCAACAGTCTATAACTTTGTCCCTTAATTGTTTTTTGCCACAAGTTTTGAAAATTTCAAGAGCTGACAAAAGTAAGAGAGAGAACAATAAACCTCAAGGAAAATAACTAGCAATATTGTTAATATTAATGAAGTTAACACTTCTAATAAGTGCACTATATCAGTTAAACCCTTTCAATTTCACATCTAAGCACAAAGGCTCCCATTACCACCCTTACATATGGTTAAGAATCTAGTATCCTAAGTAGAAAATAATAATCTAAAATAATCTAATCCAGCCTTCATTTGATGGCAGAAGACATGGGAGACCTATACGATATATGCTGATTGGTCATAATAAAGGGGGAAGAAAATGAGGCAAAGAAGTTTGAAAAAGGCAATGTGTTCACTGAGATTTTAGGAATAAAGCTGTTTTCATGTACATAAGTATTTTTCATTTTTATAGAATTCATTTTTCAAATGAGGGTGAAATGGCTTCAGTAAACCTTTTGAAAAGCATTGCAAAACAAGTTAACTATCCTTGTGTCTGAGTATCATCTCACCTTCATCCCTTTAAATCAATAAGGACAATTTTGGCTGGGTTGAATCAAGATTTCTAGCAGTAATTAAAAACAATTCAGTGGAAATACCCACCTAAGTTTTATCCTTGAACAACCAAAAGAGGCAAAACTTGAAGGAAAAAGAATTTTAAATTTCTCTCCACTGTCACCCTGTTCTAAACCCTCCACTCTGGTTCTAAAACATAATTACAACAAAAAGTTATTATCAAACATAATAAATATTCAGGATAAAATCCATTAAGCACAGAGATTTGATTAACTATATTGTTATCATTTAAGAATAAGGATTGTGAATAAATAAAGTAACAACTGGTCGCATATACTATGGTTTTAATAGTCATAGTCTTATATGTGGTTCATTTTCACAAATTTGTCAGACTATCAAATTGGTCAAAGGGAGAGGAAGGAAGGAAGGAAGGAAAGAAGGAAAGAAGGGAGGAAGGAAGGAGGGAAGGAAAGCTTGCTGTTTTGAACAAAACAGGACCAGAGTAATAGCTGTTTTATTTTACACCCTGAAAGGGGGAGAGTGATGTCCATTACTTTTTTATTGCAATCACCCAATAGTTGAAAATTTAACTTTGCTTAGGACCATAGTCTAGCAGCAATATTATTGAGGTTTGATGTGTTCAAAGTCTTTATTTATTAGGATTCTTCACTAAACCATTAGATAAATAAATATCTTTTTGATGAAAGGGAAAATATAAAACTTATTGACTTGAATGTACAGGCCATATTTTTTGTTTTATGCTAATCGGTGGGGAACATTTCTAAAAACTATCTACACATATCACATTTTACTCTCCCATTTCTCTTCTTGAACAAGAAGGACCTTGAATGAGAATATGATGAATACCAACAAGACAAAAATGTATTTAGAACTATTTGGAATAGCACGTGTTGAATATTTGAATAACGTGTAAAGAACTGTTTCATATTAAGCTTTTCAGTTTAGCAGAAAAAACTAAAAGTGTAATTATACATGCTGAATCACTTGGTTCTCTCTTCCTTTCAATGATATTACTATCTGGAAATAAATGATATTACTGAAAAAAACAAATCAGTAGAGATCATTTTTGGTTTAGGTTATCTGATCATTAAAAAAATGTTATCTTATTGAGTAAATCCTGGTTTCTCAGCAGATATTTATAGAAGCCATTTATTTTAATTACCATGTATAAAAAGGATGCATTGAAATCAAAATTTATATGCAAAATTATTTTTATTTAGTTTTATATTAATTGGCACTTTATTACATAAACAGTAATATGAATTGTAAGTAAACCATCAAGTTTCAGAAAAGTATATTATTTGTAAGAACCTAAGGAAGTTTCATGATTTTATTTTTAGTTATGCAGTATTTTAGATTAAGTTAGGACTAAGAATAATTTAAATATTTCTCCATGACAGCATGACCCTACTGTACATGCCAATTTAAGAAAATATAATTCTATTTAGATTTATACTATATTACATCTCCAATAAGATATGTGCCTAGTAGAGTTTCCACTGGAAATTCTCCAATTACTAAAAATGGGTATGCTCAGGAGGATAACACTTACTTAAAAATGTGCACTATTTCCAGTTAAAAATAACTCCCCAGAGATTCTTATATGCTCCATCCAACAATCTTTAAAAAATTGTGCTGGTAAAAGTCCACTGCTGGAAATAATTTAAATGATGTACTCTAAAATAAGCATGCCAGGGATGTAAGTGTGGGGATATTCATTGCAGCATCCTTAGCAATCAAAAACAAATCCTGGCAACACACAGGTTGTCAAAAACATGGGTCTGATAAATCGTCATTTGGGTCTATAATGAAACACTCTACTTTTAGATGGAATCAAGTGTATCCATAGTGCTGACATATAAAGCATGACAAAATATATTAGGGGGACAAGTACAGAGTCTTGTATCTGATGTCATCATTTTTGCATAAATAAAAAATACACCTATATCCTTTTTAGTTCATATATCAGAACGTAGTATATTGAAAGTTTACAAAGGAAAATACAGTGATTTTCTTTGGGGTGATGGGCTGGGAGTCCTATAATAAAGTCAAGAGATATTTACCTTGTACATATATCTAGTACATGTATTTTTTTTTTTCTTAAAAAAAGAGTAACTATTATTAGAAAAGTGAGAATACTTTCTGGGATAAGAAAGAAAAAGAAGATGATATGGTTGAAAATGTGTACATAGTCCTAAGTATTTTTAGAGATCCTGAAATTTCTGTTTCTTAACCTGAATGGTAATTATATAGCTATTGCTTTACAGTTATTCTTAAAAATGTAAATATAGGGGCGCCTGGGTGGCTCAGTTGGTTAAGCGACTGCCTTCGGCTCAGGTCATGATCCTGGAGTCCCAGGATCGAGTCCCACATCGGGCTCCCTGCTCAGCAGGGAGTCTGCTTCTTCCCCTGACCCTCCCCACTCTCATGCTCTATCTCATTCTCTCTCTCAAATAAATAAATAAAATCTTTTTTAAAAAATGTAAATACAGTTTAATACTTCCTTCTATATAAATATGACATGTTGCACAAAATAAAATTTTGCATAATGTAAACTTTTATAAAGCAGGGTACTATATTTCACCTGCAAATCTGAGTCTATCTCTGATTAAATTTTCTGTTTTCTAAATGTTAGCAGTGGCATTCCTCTTGATTTTATTTTTTTAAGCTAATTCATGACAAATTCTGCATCGTACTAGAAGAGATATAATATCTATCCCTGAAATCTCATTACATTTTATCCTTTAAAATAAGGTTCACTTTGAATATAATTATTAAAGTTTGACAAAACTCTAAGATAAACTCAAAATTAATACATATATTTTTGCCTCAAGTATCATATTTTCTGTTCTTTCAATCCTACCTATATATATATAGAGAGAGAGAGAGAGAGAGAGATAGCACATATTTCTTAAAATTTAAATTCTATTACTGTTGTGATGCTAAATATTTTGTTTACCTCTGGTTCTCACCACACTGAAAATTTGCAAATCTTATTCTGAGCATTAGTTATTGCTTTCTCATTGAAGGTATCTAGAAATATCATTTTTTAAGAAGATTTATTCAATTTACTTGAGAGAGAAAGAGAGAATATGTGTGTGTATGTGCGTGCACGAGTGGGGAGAAGGACAGAAGGAGAAAATCCTAAGCAGACTTCCCCTTAGCACCTAGTCAGATGTGATGCTTGATCTCACAACCCTGAGATCATGACCCTGAAATCATGACCCTGAGGTCATGACCTGAGCCAAAACAGAGTCAGACACTTAACCAACTGTACCACTGAGGCACCCCACATACTCTACACTTTTAATTTCCTTCCATCATCCACTTTTCCAGGCCTTGTCATGGTTTTCTGCATATACTCTATTCTATCACAGCATGTAATCTTTTTTTAAAAAAATTAGTATTGAAGTAACTTCTGAGCTGATTTAAGAAATATGTTTTACTAAAATTAAAAAGAATGAGTAAGAGAATATTTCATGTATTTAGAATGACCTAAAAATATGAATTCACTACACGATGACTAACAGTACTTATTACCGAAAGAAGGGAAAAGATGGCAGAGGATTAGGAGACCCTATTCCAACCAGTCCCCTGAAATGAGTTGGATATCTACCAGACCACTTTGAACACCCATGAAATCAGCCTGAGATGTAAGAAGGTAGGTCTGGATATCTACAAACAGAATATCACAGGTGGTTGGTTTCAAGGCATGAAGCGAGTAGCAGTGATTCCCCAAGCAGATATTGGAAGATAAATGGAAGGGGGAAGGAGACTTTGGGATCCTGTACCACTGGAGTGTGAAACCCTCCTGTGTTAGGGACAGGGCACAAACTCATAGGCCAGTAGTGGTGGGGAAAGGACTTTAGGGCAGCTCCCCGGATTGAAACCTGGAGCGGCAGGGCTGCACATATGAACTGGGGGCAGCTGGCAGTTTTAGAAGCACAAAGGGCAGAGACGTGCCCCAACCTAGAGGTGAGGACTGGGAGTGCTGCTGAAGGGCACACAACCTAGGAAGCTGCAGTTTTTAGCAGCACAGACAGAAAGGGAGCTAGTGTGGCCTGGAGAGCTCACTGAAGAATAGACCGTGATC